AGCGCCGCAGCCCCGCTGAGCGCGCCGCGCGCCCTGCGCTCCCCGCCCCGCCGCAGGGCTATGTCAGGAGCCGAGGCTCGCTAAAGCGGAGGACTCCGGGAGCGCGTTAGACGGGTGGATGCCGCAGATGTGACGCCGTAAGTACAAGATGCCTGTTGGAAAAATTGTGGTGACTGCCGACAGCTGTCCTGTGGGCGAAGCCCGGGGTAACAGGCGCGCTTTTATTATTGTTTTGATTTATTTTAGAAGAGAAACATTACGGCGTGAGGAAAAGGGTGACACTTCTACCTGATACTTTCTTAGCCCCAGGGTTCCATCACAGAAGTATAGTTTTTAACCCCCAAACTATCCGGACGATTAGAATCATCAAGAGATAATTGCAAATTGTTAATGATTACCTCTGTTATGATTTACATAAATAACTATAAAAGAAGGCCATATTCTTGAAGGAGAGTATTGCATATGTCTTTTGTATACAAGCCTCAAATACTGTGTGATTAAAATGGTATATATACGTCTGTAGTAACACATAGATGATTTTTGCTATGCACTTTAGCTTACTATGGAAAAAATGCGGAAAGGTTAAACATTTGAAAGGACAACAGATGACAAGGAATTGATAACCACTTTTTAAGCAAATTCATTTATTTGCTTCAGTAAACAGATTTTCCAAACGTTGCATTAAGCAGGCTCATCTCCAAATGGTGATCCAATAAGCATGAGGCTAGTTAATTTGTCATGTATTGACACTTTAAATGAATTAAATGGACCTTGAAGTTAAAAATCTGGATTCTTCAGCTTTGGAATTACCACTCAGAATGTTTGCCATTCAAAATCAGTATTTTGAATTGCTAATGACTCACGAGTTTATATTTCTTGGGAGGAGCTTTTACACATTTAAGTATAGCATTTGCAAGAATTCATTAAATTCAGAGATGTCATTGAATTTGGAGAAGCTTTTTCTGTTTTCTTTCTTAAAATGGCAAAGGGTACAAAAAATTGGCAGCAAAGCACATAGCGTAGCTGTGTAGGTTTGGAATGGCTTTGTAAAGTGTCTCTCAGAGTAGGTTTTACGTTCTGCTTGTGTGAGTCTTTACCCTTGCTGGGGTTTGAGGACAGACACACAGTGAGCAGTAAGGCCTTTCAGTGGTCAAAATTTGATATCTGACTTTCTCCATGCCTGAGTTCTGCTGAGGCCCAAGGTTCTCGTGAGTGAGCGAGCGGCCATAGATTTCCAGTCTTTGAAAATTCTCCGCGGTGACAGACATAGGAGCCTCATTGAGCCACTGTTCAGTCTGAGAGTGCCACATGGAAGTCAACTGCTGTGTGGGTTTCACAGACATGATAAATGATTTTCTCAAAAGAAAATGTCCATTTGAGTGTGAACATTTATTCCATAAGACTACACTGGCAAGAGACATACTTTCAATGAGGATACTTCTATTTAATCAGATACCAGAAGCATTTCCACATTTTCAATCAATGGTAATTTTGAAAATCACCCTTAAGTCATAGGTAGAATCAGTTGTGGTTTAAAAACTTGTTTTTGGTTTCATAAGAATGCTATTTTATCATTTCCTTTAAATGAGATACTGCAAATGAATATTCCAGTAAAATAAGCAGCAATAAAATGTAAATATTTACCTTATGAGGTCTGATAAAGAAGGAAGTGTACTGCTAACATTTAAAAATCTACCCCTCCCTAGAAATTCTTTTCAATTTTAAGGTTAAGTTTTTATTTTAAAAATTTGGATTTTAATTACAATGCTGACACCACAGTAGGAAGTACTGACTGAAGAGAAATTTTGACAGGATTTTTTTGCTGCTTAAAAAGTGGATCTATATCTAAGGCACGTTTATTTCCTACAAAATGTATTCTGATTAGAAAATTACCATTGTCTTTCAAATGTGGAAGTACTCAGGTTGATCTGTGGTTGGACAAAACTAGCTCTCCTGCCAACTGTATTTATTTAGATAAGTTCAGTACTTTCACTTTGAAAATTTCTTTTCATTTAAAAAAAGTTTTAAATTATAGTCATTTTATAAAAATTGCTTCTAGCAAGCAAAAAAGCCTATGGAAAACCCATAATTTAGACAAGTACCTACATTTTATTTTCTCTGTGCTGCTGAGATTTAGAATCCCTTTCCATTTACAGTTTACTTTTCACAGAACATTATTAACTTTTTGGCTTCATACATGATCTTCTGTCAGATGCTTTTGATTTGTAATTTAGCAAAGTATAATAAACAGTGCAAAAGTCATGATTTTGCTCTGCATCCTGAGCTCTGTGGTAGGGAAAATGTGATAAAATGTGTACCTTAAGTCTTGTTTGATGATCTCTCAAAGCAAGTTTGCCTTCTGGAAATAATTTCTGGGGTTGAAGAGCATGGTATTAACAGATTTAATGTGGCTATTCAATGGATTGGCGAAGTACTATGTGAGGTTTAACGAAATGAGAGAGACAAATTGAACATCAACAAAAGTTCCATCTGTGAAGAATTATAAATTTAATTAGAAAAAAGGCAAACTTAAAAGATCTCATTAACTAATCAGAAGTCAAAGTTACTAGTTTAGGATTCTTGAATTTTAAATTCTAAGGAGTTCTGCTATCTTTTCCCTTTGTATTTTCACAGCTCTGCCAATATGCTACTATGTGTGTTCTGTAGAAAGAGCGTTTAAGAAGCATTAAGGTGCAGTGACTTCATTGTAATATAAGATGACCATTTATATAATGGGAAATATTTTTGCATGCATGGAAGTATTTAAATTAAAAATACCAGATTAGGAAATAAGAAACATATTAAATGTATGGGGGATAAAGCAGAAAATGTGAGTTTACCGAATGTCTGGAAGCCATGGAATTTTTTTTTCTCTTTTTTTGAACAAAAATATCCCTGATTATTTTTGAAACAGATTATGATTTTGGACCTTTAAATTACAGAGATTTCCACAGAAATTGTCAAACATAAGAGAAAATTAACACCAATCAGAAATAGGTGTTCTTTTTAGATAAGTCATTATAAGAGTATGTTTCCTTACTGCACTGTAATCTTGTACTACACATAAAAAACTAAAAGCATGTGAAGTGTAGCATTTTGTAAACTGTAACTAATTTTGCTCACATCTGTGTCTAATTGTTGTCTGCATTCGCATTCTTGAGAGTAGATTTATTTTTCCTGGACCACGATGTGGATTCAGCTGACCAGCCTAAGTGAGGATTAGTTGTTTTAAAGTTATTTTGATTAAAGAGTCATTTTTAAATACAGTAACACACAACACATGGTTTAAATAATCCTTGAGACACAAAAGAATATATCTGAAGTATACTTAATGAAATGAAGATCGTGGAATGGGCTTTCAAACATTGTATGAAAGTACAGTAGAGACTGGCTTGTGCTAGCATAACAGAAATATGTTGTTGTGAAAATGCATTTTTTCAGTGAGGAAATATATTAGGCTAACTCTTGTTGTGAAGTCCATTTTTTTAAATTAGCAACAATAGACCTTTAAATTTAGATAGGACAGGTTAAGCCTCAAATATAAATATAACCAAACTTCCAAACTACACAAGGAGTCTAGTATTATGCTTTCTAGCTGATGTTAAAATGGAAATGGATTTTAACATTTAACAGAAAGTATACTTTACACACTCTCATAATTAAGCCAAGAGAGTTCTTAAAACTAAGTTAGTTCTCACCTATAATTTATTCCAGGTGTATAAAAGGGTGGGGGTGTTTATCCTTGAGTTATATTGCTCCAGTTTCTAAAAGGAACTTGTGTGAGAACATTTTATCTGGTGTGAGAACATTAATTTTAACAAAAATCGCAGAAACCTGTTATCACAGCATGGCACATACACAGCTATTAATGTTTAATTTCTACTTATGCACCTTTTAAAAATTGTTTTTCCTCATCCTGCACATACCAAGACATTTAGACCTTACTGATGCTTTATTCTTGCTAGACAGGTATTATTTCTTAATTTCATAAATCATAATTTAAAAACAACAGGACTCAACAGAAGATGCTTGGTTGGATAATTTTAATGTCATTTGAGATGCTTCAGTTCTCATCTTTGTTCTGTAGCCCTAATTGATGTCAGTTCAGGTTGAGCGAAAATGCACATCAAAGATTTGGAATTCTGAGCCATTTTAAACATTATGCAGAGTGCCCCTTGCTCCCTGCCTGCGGAGGTGTTAGCCTGATCTCGCAAGCCAGCAGGCTTCCTCACCTGAGCTTTATCACCTGCTGATGGTTAATGGTGCCTCTGCTAAACCCTGCACCTTAGTGGAGTCCCCAAATCTAGATGCATTTACAAACAAAGAGACTAACATGCTGGCTAACTGGGATGTTGAACTGATTATACCGCTATGCATTCTTTTTTTCTGTCTACAAGATGGGAAATCCACCCAAGTGAATAAACACACAAACTTTCTGTGCTGCCCGGCACAGGCACTCATTGAATTTTAATTGGCATGGATAAATAAGTATTTTGCTCAGTGAGGTAGCTTTGGGCATGAAAATTCATCTTTGCCATTTATTCTTAGTCCAGCATTGCCTGAAAGTTGCCCAGGAGCTGTTTTAGTGATTGTTAAATGACAAAGTAAACGTGGGAGAAAATCATCATGATAAGGCTAAGAAATCCTCAGGAGTCAAAGGGGTGGGCGGGAGCTCTGTTTTAGCTGGTGATAACAGAAGATGAAAGATCTTTTGAGGGGAGGTGGTTATTGCCTGAACTACTGCTGTTAAATACACTCATTTTGTTAATAGCTATTTTTTCCAAGCACCTTTTCCAAGCTGCCTGGGCAAGGCTGCTTTGCATGTTGATTGGGGGAGGGGTAATCCCGTTTGCAGCTGTCATAGGCCAGTGATGAATCACTATCCCGTCATTTGGCTGCCTTCCCCCCTGACAAGGGGAGGAGGAGGATAGACCTGCAGGAGGAAACAACAGTGGAGACCTCAACTTAAAGACAATATGCCTTTCACTGCTGCACTATCCTCCTCTTTCTCTTTTGGTTAAAAGAGAGCATTGTCGGCGCAGCCATGTGCTCTGTATAATTAAGAGCTGACACGAAGCACAGTAACAATAGCTTTTAATTTTTTACCCCTGACCACAGGTGCAAACACCTCAAACCAGTTCCGATGTTGTTGTTTCCTCAAGTTGCAGGTAAGGATATTATTGATATTCAACATTTTTGTAGATTACCTTTCTGTGACCCAGGTCTATTTTTGTCTGGTATGTCTTAATTATTGCTATTAATAGCAGCAGCCTGGTTATAAATTACTTAACGTTTTATGTGTGCATATATATGTGTGTGTGTTTGTGCGGGCGCGCGCGTGCATGGTTTCGAAAGATGTTTAAGTATTTAGGGAAGAAATAGGAAGATCAGTTTGACAGTGATTGTGGGATAAACTTTCTGGTGTTAAGAAAGCTGTGAGTGTGGAATGAGAATTAGGAGAGAGAAAAATGGATTTGAAAACATTTCTAGTTTGAATTTGGGAGACTCACGAAGTAAACTGACTCATGTTAAATTGTTTTAAAAACTGATATCCATAGTCCATTAAAGTACAGCCTCCAAACTTAAAATGACTGTTCATGTTATTGACCTGGTAAGGGTGAGCAGCAAATATTACCTTCTTCTGTGTAACATTAAACTCCTCCTTTATTATTATTTTAGAAACACATAAAGTTTAAAATAAAGCAAATGGGCCTTGGATTTAAAAACTTGGCTGTCAGAATACAGATGGTATCTAGATGTTTTGGGTAACTTTCAGGAATATGCTCTTCATTAATAAGAGATTTAAATACAAGTGTCTAGTTCGAAACTTATGAACATGAAGAGTGGCTTTTTTACCTTTTACAGAATGAGACTCCTGAGTCTAAGAACTTTTGAGGGGGAGGGATTGAATTGTTTTTGTCTGGTAAAAATGCAGAATGATAGCACTGAAGCAGAATTGTCCTTCTTTCCCTAAGTGACAGCTGAGATATTCCAAGTGCTAATGCTCACAGGACTCACTGTATGTTGGCCTTATCCCTTTTCAATTGGACACGCTGTATGTAATCCACAAAGCAAACAAGTGAGCCGACATCATAATGTTTTAATGCTGCATTTGTTTCAAGGGAAACAGAGGAACAATTAAGTAGTTTGCCAGAGTAAACACATGCATCAGGACTATCTCATTCCCTGTCACTAGACTATAGGTTTCAAGTGTTTTATTTGGTTTGGAGACCCATTAAATTACAATTGGGTGGTAAATTATAAGGGAGTATACAGTGCTAACTTATTAGATGAAACAGATTCCATAGAAAAGTGATTTATTTCTGTTGTACTTGTTTATATATTTGCCTTTTCTTTTAGAAAAAAATAACAACTTTGGGTATTTTTTTAATATTAGAAAAAAACTATGACTGCATTTTTTTCTCTGAGAATTTAAATAGATGCCATTGTCTAACATTAGACCATCTGTCTTGATAAACTATAGAAAAGAAAAAAAGAGATTTAAATAAGTCCATGTAAATGTTTGCTTGCCTGGGTAGGGCAAGTGACACCTTTTAATAGTACATGTGATGCAAGGATGGCTGAAATCAAAGTGCAAGATGAACTCTTCTGAGTCTAAGAAAATAGATACAATGGGATTTTGTGTGAATGTGTTTCAAAGAACGTGTCAAGTCGTTATCGCATTAAATAGTGGTGTCATGAATTTGGTACATCTGTCAAACGGAAGGCTTCTTGTCTTTAGGTCTATGGAAATGCAGGATCTAACCAGCCCGCATAGCCATCTGAGTGGTAGTAGTGACTCCCCCAGTGGTCCCAAACTCGATAACTCTCACATAAATAGTAATTCCATGACTCCCAATGGCACCGAAGGTGAGTGTCTGCCTTCTTCATTGTTTGCTTTCCACCTCATTTCCTCACTTTATTATTAGGCGGCTGTGATTTCAGTTGTTAAATCCATTCAACTCTTATTTCTCCTTTAGGTAATTCGACTTATGAGTTAGTATTCGTTAGTGCAGACTGCATGGTACTAGGTTATTGTACCATCCATAACTGGTTTAATTTTATGTAGATTCATATATGTGTAGACATGTTTTATATGCCTACATCTGTTCACATGTTTGCACATAACAGTTTTAGCCTTTGAGTGTATTTTATCTCCTTGTTAATCATGTCCATTGCATAGTATCAGTTTGCATTATTTTGCTGTGTGAGCAATGAAATTTTGAAATTATTATTTTTTTTTACTTTCTATTATGTTACTAAATATAACTAAATTTGCTTAAATGTAAACATTAGACTGAATTATTTTATATGATCAGTAAAATAATTTGTGTGTCTAGCATTCTGTGGATTTGGTTATTAAAATATAAGTATGTAAAAGAGAAAACTTTAGTTTGCAGTATAGGCAATGTTACTTGAAAGGTGTTCATAACACTTTCTAAAAAATTAAGTAGTATACTTTAAACATAGTATAATTACAATTATGTCTGTATAATTCATACATATGAGTATTTTAATTGATACAGCTCTAAGTCTAAACACATAGAGTTATATGTATGCTATCTATTATGTGCAGTCACGTAGGTGCTATGCATATAACTTCAACATATGGAAGGATATGTTACTATTGCACTGTATTATTTCTACCTTAGACTATTGAAAAATTACTTCTTCACAGATATTGTTGCTTATTTTTCACTAATCTTTATGATGCTTGAATGGACTCAGAAAATAAGTTTCACCAGAAGTTCATAAGAATTATCTATTTAGAAATCTATCCATAGAAAAACTCTTTTATCAGCTCCCAGTCATCAAGGTGATTTTTTATCACATAGTTTTTAGACAAATAAATACAACTAAATGCTATAAACTTATTGTCCATTTGGTATAATATTCTAGTATTTAGCAGTAAAACCTTTTGAAACTTGGTAATGCTATAAAATTTGTGATAATAGGTAAAATATCAAATCAGCAATTTCTGATATAATATATTTATATCCACAGTGATTATTTTTATCTATAACTGTTCCGTATTTTTTTTAAAAAGTAAATATCTTCATTTACAGTGTTAATAAAAGTAGTTGTCATCAGAAGTGGAAACTTTGCTGAGGTGGCCAAAAAAAATTAATCTCTGAAGAAAGTGCTTTTTCCTTTGAAACTTCTTCCCATGCAGTACTCAATCAAAGAGAAATTCAGATTATGGGAAAGCAATTGAAGCATGTAACTAGCTTTCAATAGAGCAAATAAAACAAGAGCAAAAAGTCCTCTTCCCTCTCCCCTTGGGATTTGGCTTCAGGTGAAAGCCTGTCTGCAGCAGAGTGCAGACTGCATGTGGGGACAGTCGCACTGCCCCCGCCGGCCCTTCCAGTGTGAGTAGCCGGGGAAGCCACAGAGGGGCCATAGCAGCAAATCTTTCACAGTTGCTTCCAGTACTGTCAAACCAGATAACACACTCAAAGTGACTTCAAAATAAGGAAGACTAAACATGTTAAAGTAATTTACTTAATAGAATATGTCAATGTATGGTGGAAAGAGTGAACATGAAATACGGATAGTTAATTTTTTAAATATGAAAAATGAAACTGAGGTAGGATGTTTTCATCTTTTCAACATTTTGCTGGCAAGTCATCTCCTACAAAACGATCCCCCAGTGTTGAAGCAAACTCTCTTTGAGGACTGCCCTCTTAGGTGGCTTTGTCTGAATGAGGTGTGATTTGTTTTTTAAGCACATGTAGAGTGCTAATATGTTTCTGAATGTTTACATTTCATAGGTTGGTTGCATATTCATATTCAGTAATACAACATTTTATAAGATTTTTGCATAACTAAAATAAGCCTAGAACAATAAAGTAATTGAGACATTGGTGTGATCTTTTGACCCATTCAACAAAGGAAATTACTAGAAATCATTTCTTATCCTAAAAACAAACCTTTGCTTCATGTCTTGGAAATGAAGTTTTAAGAGCTAATCTGAGAGAAATACGTAGTTTATTCATCTCATCCTGTTTTTAGGCACTGTTCATTACTGTGCTTTCAAAAGGTTGTGGTGTGTTAGAAGGAGAATTTAGGAAGTACCAGTATAAATTATCTAAAACATAGAAGGAACTTCTGTCTATCTACTTGAATATTTGGTTTTATTTCTAACATATAGTTTGAAAATCTGGAATCAAGATTTTCTTCACGGTCCATGGTATGTGCCTATTTAGATCCAAACAATATCAGAAAGTTCTAGGTCGCTACTAAGTTTGTGAATCAGTTTATCAAGCTACTTATGTGTTCTGTCATGTACTTATTTCATTCCTCTCAGCTACCACTAGAGGAGTTAAGTTTAAAAATCAGTGACTTCATTAACCTCTGGCAAGCTTCTCTGGTATATAATCACTATAGATTTTCCTGTTCTTTCTTTGAGATCTTATTTAATTTGAAACCACCAGTGTTTACCAATGAATTAAAAGAATGAGAAAGAGAAATTCATTAAAATTTAAAACTCTTTAAAATATCAATCACCTCTCCTAACTGCGTAACAAATATTTCCAGATGTACACACACACACACACACACACACACACACACACACACCCCATGATTTGTATTTAAGTGACTTCTCTGCAGCCCAATTTAAAAGTTTCAGCTCAATTGAAATTAATTAGGTCAACAAAACTTCTATTTGGTTTACATACTTGTTAGCTTTGCATGCGTTTATATGGACCGTCTTCTCTCACTCAGAACCATTTTTACTTCCTGCCACCACCTGCCCCTATTAAGAGGCTAAGAAAACAAGAAAATCTCCTGTATCAAAAACCATAACTTCATCTAAAGAACAAACAAGAAGGGAATGGAATGGCGAGGCAGAGAATATTAAGTTTCTTCTTAAGTCTGCTGCCAAATTACCCTAAGACCCGGTATTTGTAGCTTCTGTACTTACAGGCTAGTACCTATTTTCATGGTTCATAGAAGGGATAAAGACAAAAAGACACTAAGCTACAGCCTCAAATAATGTGTCTTTAAAATTTTTCTAGATGAAATGTTCTTCAACTGTAGATGCTGTTTGAATGTTTCATATTTCAAACCCCTTAGCTGTTTATTTTTATATTTCAACATCTCTTTGAATCATTATTCTTGCAGTTAACTGTTGATGTTACCCAATTTGTAAATCTTGGAACTACAAGATACACATAGGTAAAATTAGTAAAACAGTAGCATAAGTAAATGCTTGATTTATATTGAGAAAATTATTGTTGGAAATAATAAATTTCTAAATGAGCTAATGAATATTGCAGTTAGTGTTAGATTAAAATGTAACCCAGAAAACACTGACGGATAGTTGCAAAAATACTCATGGTTGGCTTTCTTTTAACTGTTCTCCTGTCGTGGGGCAGTTGGTTTCCTAGGGCAGGATAGAACAGAAATTTCTTATCAGAGAGATTGCTAAACAGCATAACTTTTAAGAACTAGGTGCTGGGGAGGTAATGCTTCTAGTAGATGAGCATTAAAGCGTGGGGTGTGACAGAGAAGAATCAAGCCTCTGTTCAGGGAAAGCTTTGTGTTGGTATTTATGTTATGGGTGGGAAGTGGTTGGGAGCCATTCAGAAGGACTCAGAGCTGCAGCAGTAAAAGGCTTTTTATTTACGTACCAATTAGGGCCTGTTTGCAAAGCAGGGATTCTTTCCTGTTTTCTCTGGTTGTCTTAGTTCATGGTAGCCTGAGATTGCTCAATTCCAGTATATTGCTCGTTCCAGTATTTATTTTGGTTGTTGGGGGTTCGTGAAAGAGGAAGGACAAAAAAAGAGGTAGGAGTGAAACGAAGAGCTCAAAGTGTGAGTTTTCTCTATTGTAAATTCACATTCAAATCAGAAAGCAGCGTAAACTGGTCTTAACACAGATAAATTTATCTTCAAGAGAGGTAAAACCACATGCAATAGGCATTTTCACTACAAATGCATAGTTTCAGGAATTCTGATGGTAATTCAAATAGTAATTTTGAAATGGTGTGTCAGATTTCCAAGATGATAACAGATTGCAATCTTGAATTAGGTGGCTAAATTTTCTGCATTTAAAATTTATTTCATTGTTTTGCATATTTTAGCATAATAAGTTGATTCAGTTTTGCCTATTTATATTATTAGAATCTATTTAAAGTGGTTTTGTTATTTCTGCAAAGCTTAGAAAACTAGCAAATTATCTGAATTTGGATTTTTTTCTGACTATAATTTTAACTCGGTGAAATACGATTGTATCCAATGAGACTGTCTTTTAGAGATCTTATGGATGAGAACTATCCGAACTGGAGTGAATGTGTATAAAATTATGGTTTGAGGCTGCATTGTAAGGGTATATTTATATATCTGTGGTCAGATATACTGATGTCAATAGAAACATGCTAATCTAATTTATTATTATTTACATTCTGCACATAATTTAGTTTCTGGAAGGTTACGGGGCATCATGAGTAAAGAAGTTTCTAAATAACATTTTTAGACTAAGCCACAAAATTGTCCTCTTATAAATTATTCTCAAGCCAAAGCCATCAAAGAATGAACAAAATAATTGGTTCGAATGTAATATTTGCTATATCGTGTCTGTGAGAGTAGTTGTCCCAGGCCTCCTGCTAATAATAAAAATGGCTAATGGTTTTTAATAGCTGATTAGTCATTGTGCTGCGTGTGCTCTGTTTGTTTCATTAATCTTCAGAAAATTCCTCAAGACTGCCAACAGAATGGCTGACAGTATGGTTTGCATCCAAGCTCCAGGATTTGCTAGCTGTGGATACTTGGGCAAATGAGCTTCTGTGTGTCTTAGTTTCCTCATCTAGAAGATAATAACAGAATTTGTACTGGGCTTGGCATAAGCACATAATGTAGAACTTATAG